TTCATTTTGTTTCTGCTTTTTCTTTTGCGTGTGTTTTTTTAACTTGCTGCGCATTTTCATTTTGTTTCTGCTTTTTCTTTTGCGTGTGTTTTTTTTAACTTGCTGCGCATTTTCATTTTGTTTCTGCTTTTTCTTTTGTGTGTGTTTTGTCTCTAGGGGCCACCGTAACTAAAGACGCAGGGCGGATCAGCATTGCCGCCCGAGGCTGAAGGGAAGAACCGCTTAATCAAAGGCGAAGCGACGACGTCTGAAAGCGGCAGCGATTACGGTGAAAGCGCCCCACTCACGACTCGAAAAGTGCACATTAAAATCAGCCCGCATTTCGTTTCGAAGAGTACCGCTACTAAGCCGTGGGCTGTGTGCTTTTCCACGAATTTGTGCAAGACTCGTTACTCGGGGAACGTACGTTTGTCCGGGAGCAGTGTAAATATAGACACCCCACCCCCAAAATAAAAATAAAAAAAAACCCTATAAACGCTATTCGCTATTCGATACACGTAGGTGATGTGCCTGGTCCACTTTATGAAACACCTGCCGGGTCTATCACTAACATGGACATACACAAAAGCGGATTTAGTTTACAGAAGGGTAACTGCTCCCATGTCATGGTGCGGTTAGGGGACAGAGTTTCTTTGTGGTTGAAAACAAGGTGTATTTTGTACAGATCCATTTATCTTCTAACCAATCCAACTGGTCAGGGTCACAAGGAGCCCTGGAGCCTAGGCCAGGCTCACAGAGCAGAGGGGTGGGGTATACAGGACAGGATGCCAGCCCATCACAGGACACACACACACACACACAGAGGATTTAAACCCTCAGCCCTGGAGGTGTGAAGCGACAGTGATGTGCACTGAGCTGTGCTGGTCATATTCTTTGCAGATATTATAAAAATGACACATATCCCATTGGATGGCTCAGGATTATCGTCTTTCCAGGCCATTTATTACTGGTCACAGTGTTGTTTACCATATCATTCAACTTAATAAAAACATTCACATCAATTCCAAAACTTGATGTATATTTTTAATGTAAAAAACAACGTACTGTACATTACAACAGTCCATTTGAGGATAGTTTTCCTTTTTTTAAATTAATGTTTACACATTAAAATATCACAACAGCTTTTAATACCAGAGAATTAAAAAAACACATAGTTGAACACATCTCACTCTATTCTAATGTCTCAGTTAAAACCATCCTCTATCTGGCTCAAATTATACAAAATATATTTATTTTTTGCAATAATTTCTGAAGCAGTGAATGTGCACAGAATGATAGGTTACTATACACGATAATACATTCATTTGTGAATGTAAATAATTCCAGTTTATACTCTATACAACGTAAAATACCTTTTGATATATACATACATATGTAGATATATAAACATATTTATGTATATATTACATAGACACAGCTTTGTACACAAAAGGTAGTACAAAGAGTAGGATTTGAAGCAAGAACAGAGGATTCACTACCATTTACAGAAAAGTAAGAAAATAATTTGCATATTGAAAACAGTGCCTTATATCTAAAATGCAAATGATGCTAAATTTACAGGTTTCATTTCTCTTTGCCAGAACACATTCACTCTATTGTTCCATCGACACAATTCGTTGCCTCTACAGTGAATACATCAGGTCCTTTCATTTGAGTGAGTCACACACTGACAGCTTACAGATTTATAATTTCAGGACACGTGGGTCTGTAGGGGGTAGGGCGAGGTCGGCAGTGACGGACCACACGGGAGGTGAGCTTTTCAGGTACAGATTCAGGTCCCCACCCTTCTTTTACTGTGTTCTCTTTATCACAGAATAATAAAGATCATCCTCATTACAATGTTACTAGAAGGCATGTACATAAACCCCAGTAACAAGCCTACACGAGTATAAAATCAATGAGCTTGTGGGTGGCCATGGTTTTTCTGTTACTTGGCTAATCTGGCAATACATTAGCTGCTGTTTTATCGTATATATATGGATTTGTGCCATATTCTGTTGGGCGTCTGCCTGTGCCTACAGCCTTAACATGGGCGTGTGTCCAGGATTCAGTTCCTCGTAGTGGTTGGTCGGCTGGCACCTCTGTGCATCATAATCAACACAAACCATAACCTGGTTGTGTGCTAATCCTCGATTGTACGTCATGGTTAAAATACGTGAGAACTCACAAGCTTCACCGTGACCTCCAGTGCACTTCTGAATGGTTTAACTATACAAGAGGTAAGAAACAAACTTAAGTATGATTTACTAAATAAGAACAAAAGAAATCCACCTTCGACCCCTGCGGATATTGGCAAATAAATAGAAAAAGAGGCAATAGTTTGCTTTTGTCCCGCCTGGAGCTGTTAACATCTGAGGTGCTTCTTGCTGGACATGTCATTCCAGACCCTGTGCATTTCCTCAGGGGAGATCTGGTGCACTGTGACGACCCGGCGGTACCTGCAGAGGCTGTAAGCCATCTTCCAGTGGTTGAAGCCGCTGTTCTGGAAGGGGTGGATGCCTAATTTGCGCAGACACAGCCCTACATAGACGTCCTCAAGGTGCAGGAGCCGGGTGTGGAGTGACGTCTTGTATATGAGCTCGGCCACGTCAGCCGAAAACACATAGCCAGTCCCCGAGCAGAAAGGGGGGTATTTATTGTCGGGGTATAAGTCCCGGGGCATGTACCATTTGCTGCGCATATCCCGGATGGGCCCCCCGTTGATTACGTAGCCCGTGAAGTAGCGTCTCCTTGGCTTAGTGGAAGGCTTCAGGAGCTTGTAGACCAGGTTGTCCATGTTGACGAAGATGTCGCTGTCCGTCTTCATAACGTACTTGGCCTTGGGGCAGTACGTGGCCACCCACCGCATGCCCATGAGAGTCTTAAGTGTGAGGTTGTGATAGGAGTCGATGAAGTCCTCCACCACGATGTCATGGAAGATCTGGCTCTCCTGCTCCACCATCTGGTTGAGGACGGCATCCGTGTTCTTGCCCAGCAGGAAGAGTGTGACGACACGGATGTCGCTTAGGCCGCCTTCGTCCCCCCACGTCTCACGGATGGCTTGTCGGGCGTCAAACTCCTTGTGCGTGGTGCTGATGAGGATGACGAGGAAGGGTGCTTCCGCCTCGCACTTCTTGGGTTCGTTGATGATGAAGTCAAATGCGTGCGGGTTCAAGGGGCGCGTCCGGATGTTGGTGAATGTGATGTTGCTCTGTTTCGGGACCTTTCGGACGGGTATGGACAGCTGCGTCAGGTAGGAGGACGACGGCCGTGATATGCTCAGGTACCAGAGAGCGCTTGCCCAGCAAACAACCGTCAGGATGTATAAGCAGGAGACCTTTGAAGGCATTATGCCGCATTTACGTGTGTTTCATGCACTGAAGTGTCTTTCTTTTCATCAGAGAGGATATTTCCAGCAAGGCAGCATTGAGCTGCTCCCACGTCACCGTTGGCATTTATTGTTTATCACAGACAGCTCTATCAAAAAGTGATGCGTGCCATAGTTGAGAGTGGAGATTTTATTCTTCTTTAATATACTTTTTCAGCGCATGACCGATTCAGAACCTTCGCAAATCTCTGGCCTATCTTCCTCCTTCTTCTCCACTTAAATCTGCAAAACAAAGAAATGAAAGAACTGAACCGCCGAATGTCAAAAGCAACCATCGGCAAGGCTAGCAGCGCGTGGCCGAGCTTCAGAAGGGCCCGGAAACACTGGCACTGAGCTACAGAGGTACACAGGAAGTTTTATGAGTGCCTTACGGCTGCTTTAAATGTCTGAGTGAGTTACGCCCGTTACATCAAAGTCGGCTTGAGTCACATGACATTTTGATGTCTCCAGCCCCAGAGCGATCCCCCAAAAAAGCAGCTCGTCTGACGCATGGAGTTTCATTACAGCTGCCAGTGCTATCCCAGTTAAGCCGCAGTCTCTGTGGCCCGACATTGAAGTCCTTGTCATTCCAGGGGCGTTTCAGGCGAGCAGGCCAGCAAAGAACCACCTACCTGCTGCTCGGAAGGCAGCCGCCCAGGAAGGTGGGCCAGTTAGGGATGGGGTTTTCGTTAGGTGGTCCTAAATTTATAGCTACTCGATTAACATGAACCTGAACACTGTCTACTGCACAGCGTCACATCTGAAAAGCCAAGTTGCAGGCTGGTTGAGGAAGGAGAGGTGGAAACACAAAGCTGAACAGATCCCCAGATCATTCCAAACACACAGTATCACACCATCAGTGACACACATATAATTTAATTAATGAAAAACAACACACACAGCTAAAAATTTTACGCCGTGTTAATACACCTCAAGGAGATCCCGCGCTCTGAATTCACTTGACCCAATCAACTCAATATGATGAATTAAACACTAAAAACACTTTATCAGTTTACATGATTGTTTAGTCATAATCTAGAAATATGTGTTTTATAGATTGTCCTACTTTCAGTCTCCAGTTTGTCAAGATATTATTAAGGCACTTTTAGTGTGAAGGTGAGAACTATGTAAATGTTCTCCTGGTTGTTCTGTCCCCATAAAACTGTCCACGACCATGACATAATGGACACACCCCCAGGATTGCACATATGACTTCTGCTGTTTATGGTCACAGTGAATGCAGAAATCTGCTGACAGCAGAATCTGTATCATTTATATAACCCTAACACCTACATACCTGATTACATTTGATCGAACCCGTAAATTAACATTTTGCTCTCTCCGTATTTTACTGTTGAGTAATAATCTCTAAAAGAGAGAAAAATGAGAGTGATTTACATTCTCCGTGGGCTGCCAGCCCTGGGCTTATTATACACGGTATTTGTAACTCTCATTGGGCCTCTTGCACGTTGACTTTAAAAATGAACCCGCAAGACGGAATGTTCTAATGCTTAGCTGGCACCTCACCATTAGAGTTCTCCCCTTTCACCTCACTGGCAAAGTACTCTATTCTATTCTAACTATTCTAAGTCATTTTCCGTGTTATTTCCCCCGTGTGCTGGAGGAGTCGTCCGTCGCAGTGATGAGTGCTGGGCGACCTTGCATAGACCCTCCTAGTGATGGCGGTCGATGGCGACTTCCTGCTTGCTTTTTACTTTAGATTTTTACATTTAATTTATTTAGCGGATGTTTTTACCCAACATGATGCACATTTTTTTTTTAAAAAATGGGGATTAAGACCCTTGCTCAGGAGCCCAGTGGTGAAATCAGTCTGCTGATGCTGGGATTTGAACCAGTGACCTTCTGATCACAGGCACAGCATACTACCCTAATAAGCATCACCCTGCCCCCACACTCTGTCAACCCTCTTCCTTTGCACATTACACCCACAACGTTGAGGTACGAGTCAACAAGCACCTGCTTGCTCGATCCACCTTAGGATGCTATCCCTCACCCCTTGAACCAGCTGGGTCTCAATCCGCTGGTGAATTTCCCTGCCTCTCTCTGCAACTCAGAGGAACTTGCAAGGGCCTCTCAGTGACAAGGTGATCTAGTAGTGGAAGCTACCACTGCTGCTTGATAATGAGCCTCTCCCCGCTGTGGCAACTGCACCATCCAGGGTCACGATATGCCGAGATACTGCCGCTATTACCCAGGCTGCGTAGCCTCATGCCGGCTCAATTCTCATCTCCGTACGCCGGAAACAGCACGGATTATTGGGCGTGTACACTGAGCCAATGTCTCATAAACGGCAAGGCCGGTGCAGCTAGCAATTATGGGAACAGGGTTTGCATGTCATTGTTGACATCTAGTTATTTTAATTAGATTGACTTTTTTTAATGGACAGCATATATTTGGAATAACTACCGTTTACCTCACATGCACAAAAAGAGGCATGGAAAATTGCAGATGATTTAAGTTTAGATTGTTTTGTGATTGACTCAGTGTTTTGCAGTATTATTATATTTTTCCTGACTGATGCAGCAATCAAGCATCCGTCTGGTTTTTGCATTTACACTGGCCATTCGCACAGGGCTGGCAGTGAGGCTCGGATGACCTGGACTCTAATTTCACCTCATCCAGGCTTGAGAGGGCTGAGCTTTTGCATGGGCTGGCATGAGTCTCCACCAGTGACTGCTGCAGTGCAAAGATCCACAGTTCACGTCAAGCAGTGACCCAACGATAGCGTGATCTATGCATGACCCTAGCATGACCTTAGCCATGCTGTGAGGGGCAGGCATCCCATCCAGGAAGGATCCTTCTCAGCATGCTCAGTTTTTTTGGGAAGAACTCCGGATTACCAACGCCTACAGAACAGAAGGATAGAGACAAAATGTACTAGATGGAGACTGCAATGTTTACATGGCGCAGAGATGTAGAGAGCACAGGGGGGGCAAATTTCAGAACAGAAAATGTAGTACAAGGTAACAATTATCTGAACGGCTGGACTCCTGCTTCTTAGGAATAATGCTTCCCAGGATCAGCTCCAGGCGAAGGCAGGTATAGCGTTCCAGACAGGCGCACATCTGCGGACAGACATTTCCCTGACACACGAGCGGAGCCGGGATCAGTCTCCTGTTGCCCCAGAAACGGAGGACGGCCTTCAGCATCACTAATCGCATCACTTATATTAATACATGAGCTCACTCGTCACCTGGCAGGGAGGGCAGGTAATCCAAAAAAAAAAAAAAACCCTGAAATAAGACGAAAATCACAAGACCCCTCACTGAAGAGGAATAACAGCTCGCTCTCTGCGTTCGGTTGACTCAGAACATCTGAGTTCATGAAAGGACCTCCAAGAGACAGAGCAGATTTACAAGCTCCTGACACTAATGTATTCAGCCTTTATGAAACACTGTCAGGGAGGGAGAGAGAGAAAAAAAATCGACACCAAGGGAAGGTTTACCTGTGTTTACCAATATGTGCAGAGGCCTGGAAATAAGTTAGGTGCTTTCTGTGTCACCAGTGGGTACGGGGGGAAGGAAAACAGAAAGCCCAGTCTATGCTTGATATTTGGGTCGAGGTTCCCCGATGGTGGAATAAGATGCAAGGAACACCTCAAGACCCATCTGTTCCAGGAACTCGTCTACCAGCCAGATGCCTATGTTTCCTGAACGTTCTTAATGTTGCTCTTCTGGCCATTGAATAGTCTTATTAGGTTCTTGCTTTGTTAGAAGCTGTGTAGCTCCTGCTCCCAAACTGCATACATTCGTACCTGGACATTCACTGGAAGCTCAGCCCGGCTGCACTGATGCCCAGCTGACTCCTTTACAGCTGGCATGTTTGCAGTGTGTTATTTGCCTCACTTGTACCTCACTTTGGAAAAAAAATAGTCTGCGAAATATGTAAAGGTATATATATTTTGCTGGAAAAGAGCACTGGATTTGAGGATGAGGAATGTGTGGGAAGATGCACACCTTCACACACACAAGTGCCCCCCCCACCCCCACTGTCACACGTGCATTGTCCTTGTCTTCGTGGTGATGTGCCTGTTTTCAGTAAGTAAACAGCAATCCCACAATCATGGGGAGCCCCCAGTGAACCGGGGGGGGGGGGGGGGCAAACAAGGAAAGCACATTCAGGACAACCCTGTGGGACGAGCAGGAGGTGAAGAGAGAGACCTACAAAGTTCAACAGCGGTTTCACTTCAGAATCGATCGACGCATCAGAACAAGAGCAGCAGAATGTAATGGAGACAAACTGAGAGGTACACAGGCTAATACTTTGACATTTTGCCATTGATATAAGTTTTTTTTACAGAGTTATGATATTACACAGATGTCAGGTGCATGATTCAGGTCCAGAATGCCCATTAAGATCAGATTTACTATAGTCAAGTCATAAAAATCAATACTTCTGCGTGGCAGCCTCACACCAGCGCTGATAGTACACACGTATAAACAAAAATAAAGCAGCCGACAGGTGACAGACAGCATATAAAACTGTCTTAGGGTATTAAATTCACAGCGGGGTATTCTCCAGCCTCACACGCAACCTTTTTAGGACCAGTTATACATTATTTTCAGAGTTGTATTAATCTTAATATGTGTATGCATTTAGAAAAAAAAAACTTTTTCAGAGCAAAAATTTGTGTCCTCTGGTGACCCCATTGATGGATGTTCTGGGTGGTTCCAAGCTTTGTGCTCATTGCACTTCTCTGCCGGCAGCCGGCCAGGCTGGTCACCTGACTGTGAAGCTGGTCACATGACGGTGAGACTGGTCACATGACAGTTCATTCATTAGAGTTTAACTACCTCGATCGGCGTAAGCGGTCAGATCTAATACAGTGTCCCTCTCGGTAGGCCAGTGATTACTACGGTAGGTATGCCTGGAGTGAATACCTCACCCCCTGAGGGAATATTCAGAAACCACATGGGCAAACAGATATACAGCTCCGTGGCTGATAAGTGTGCAAGGAGTAGCGCCCCAGATCACTGAGGGATGCCATGGATCACTATGACCTATTTGCTCCTGGTGTCAGATTTTTCTGGCCACCTCCCCCCACTCCCACCCCTATAAATGTGCCGCTAAAGGGAGTGGCACTGCAGCAATTAATCAGCCGCGGCGCAGCCTGCTAATACCGGGATAACGTATGATGTCTGGAGGAGAATGGGCCAGAACTGCCCTGACATTTGTGGTGGGGGAGTGTTCCTGCATAGTGCAGCCCCACCCTACAACTAATT